TTATTCCGCCACGCATATATATAACCCGCACATCATTTGCTATATACTGCATATATCAATCCCTGTATCCCCCTCATCTGCAGTCAAGTGCAGGCCGCATTCAGTTTTTCGTCTGCAATTCGTTTTCTTTGCTTTTTTCGGCTGTTTGCCTTCCCCCATTTGTCGAAATGGAATCGATTTTGCTGAAGCAACGGCGACGGCGGCGGCGTCGGTGTCGGTATCGGTGTCCCCCTGTTTCCGTTCCACGCCCCTGCTTTTTCCCGCTCACTCCCCACATAAAGCCCCCTTTTTTCCCAGCCCCACTCAAACCCATCCATGTCTTCGATAGGCCAAAAGACAGAGCACGCAAGGGGTGCAGACTTGTAAGGTGAATCCCCTTAACGAAGACATGGGCGAGCGGTGAAGGGTCTGCCCAAGTGGGCGGCCAGGCAATTTTCGGTCTGCCCCGGCTTCGATGGCAAGTCGAAGATAAATGATGCATTTAACAAAAATGTGTAAAATGTTTAAAATACATAAATTGTCGACAGGTTGAACAAGAACGCAAGGCAAAAACTTTGAAATAATGTCTAATAAATTAAACATTCAGCCAGGACAATGAATGTATTTTTCCAGCAAAACACAGACGGAGCTTTTTAGGTATAGCCTAGAAATATCTACGCACATTAAAATAAACATTGATTTTAGAAAATCAAGAGCCTTTAATTTGGCCAAACGCAAGATAAATAAACATATTTTTACAAATTGTTATTATAATTAATTATTTTAAAAAATCAACGCACTACAATTCATTTAATTTCGATCTTAAAGAACGCGTTATCTATCTATCAATCAACATAATAAACTATATGATTAAACCTTATCCAATTGAATTATTATTTACATTATTGTGTCTGACCTTTTACAAATTTTTCACAACAAAAGTGGTTTGAACCTTCAAAACCTTGCATATTTAAAAACAAATTGTGGAGCATTAGAACAACCGATTGTAACAGGGAAAATTACCACCAGGAATGTTAATTGTTGTAATCTGATTTTTATCTAATTGTTTGGGAACCGTTTTGTAGTAAACTAAAGCGATTCTAAATGTGCACATTTGGAGAATGGGTTGGATGCCCCTTAATATTGTTAAAATCTCTACAGATATTCATGACATGTCTTTAAATTACTATTTACAAAAATAAATCACAGCACGACCCCATGGAATTTTCATCCGTTTTCAAATGTTTGTAGTACATTTTCACCTTAGCTACCTCAATATATGCATAAATTACCCGCTCGGTGTAATTTAAGCAACTTTTCATGCCACGCCCACAAGTAGGGTCGGAGGCGGCGTCGCCGGCTTTTGCAAGAGCGATAAACAATGCAACCACAACAACCCAGCGACAACAACAACAAAAACAACAACAGCGACAGCAACAAATAATCTAAGCTTGCAACGATACGCCAATAATATGTTGTCACTTGTCAATCAAGATGCAACATCAACGAAAACATCAACAACAACAGAAGCAGAGCCACTTGAAACAAACAACAATCCATGCGAAGAGGTTGGGCGGAAAAGCAGTAAAATCGGAGGGCGGTAGGCTGAAAGGGGGCGGGGCAGATCGCTCATGCAACTTTTGTTTTGTTGACTGCGCTTCGAGACTTTGACGGACTGACTGACGGCTGTCAGAAAATGCCACACGACCCAAAGTGAAGTGAAAATTGGCAACAATGAATGGAACACAACAACAAAAAAGTAATACAACTGGGGAAAAAGTGCAGCCAGAAGAAACTGAAGAAGAAACTGCAACACGCGACTTTCCCAAATAAAATACAAAAAAAAAAAAAAAACACACAACAACGCATTATAAACAATGTGTTGGACTAGGTTTAGTGTTGTTGCTGCTGTTGCTGTTGTTGCCGATGTTGCTTTCTTGTTTTGCATGTTGCACCGGCTACAACGGCCGCAATTTCCAGCGATTTTCACCGGCAACCGCAGGCGGTGGCAACAATAAGTAAAAGTTTTCCAAAACAGTAAAAGCAGCGAAATAAAAGAAATGAAAAGTGAAAAGCCAAGTTAGATTAACCGCTCCCTGCCCATTCCATTGATCATTAATTCATTGGCGAGATGCCAAAGGAATGGATGAGTGGTTAACAGCGAAATCAGAAAGTAATTAAATTAGTCCAATTGTTGGAAGATCTATGGAACGAGGGTTCATCAATCTGCCAAACGGTGAAATCAGGAAAATCAATTATATTTTAAATCTTTTACTAAGTTCAGCAATATTTAGATTTACAATAAGTAAACACGCTTAATTTTGACTTCAATAACATCATTAAATTTACCCAAATATTAAAATTTTCAGCTGTCAGATCGTTGTTAAAAGTTATTTTTTTTTTCTAAACTTAAAATGTTCAAATGTAAAACTTATTAAATATTCATATTTATATTAAATTACAAAACAGTGCTCAAGATCTCTAAAATGTCTTTACATAAATATTTGAAAAAACATATTTCTTAGTATGATAAGTTAATAGAGAGGTACCATTCAGAATGACTTTTTCTTTACAAAAATTTTTCCGTAATAGACCTTAGCTACTTCAACATCCTCATCCTTAGCTGCAGGCTGAGCTAAATCAACTTTTTGCATATGAAAAGAATTCAAATGAAGGGGGACAAATCATCAGCAACTACCAGACGGCGATGAATAATTACGTGCTGATGGGAAAGGAGGGGCAGTGGCTGTGGCAGTGGCAGTGCACAGTAGTGCAAAACGACACAAATGACTTGGCCAGGCGGATGCGGATGCGGAAAAACTTTTCCATTCCACTCCAAACCTAACTGAAACGAACCGAACAGATCTCGCCAGTCGACGACGAATAACTCACGTTCCGCGTCGCCCAGATAAAAGAAATAGAAACTCCGAGTCGGAATCAGAATCAGAATCAGAATCAGAATCTCGAGTTCGAGTTCGAGCTCTGGCTCTGAATCTGGCTCTGGTAATTACAAGCTGCGATGGGGTCGCTTGACGGATTGTCGACAGAACTAACAATTATATAAGCCAGAGGCCGTCGAGATTCGCGGCTTGCATCACTCAGAAAAATATCTTTTGATTCGCAAAATACACAACTTTTTTGCGGTTCTTTTTTTTTTATTGCTGTAGTGCTGTGCTGACTGTGTTCAAGGTATTTTCAAATGCAGCCAAAGGAACGTCAAAAAGTCAGCTAAGTAGTACCTACAATTGCTTGTAGCTACAGCGAATGTATCTTGTAGCTACAAGTTGGCGGCGCAGTTCGAATGCGAGCTGTGTGAGTGAAACTGAACTGAAACCGAAAGAGTACAAAAAGCAGCACACTCGCACACACAAAACAACAAAAAAAAATCGCTGACCTCATTATTATTTTGTGTATATATTGTACGTGCATTCTCCGCTTGGATTGCTGGCTTCGTATTTATTTCGCTGCTCTTTTGAGACCGCGGACTGCACCAGCTCTAATGTGAGGCAACCGTGCATTGATGAGATACCCCCGCGTATCTGCTGGATGCGATTTGCATTCGACGAGATAATCCCAAGCTCTTTTGAAACACCAATGAATTTCCAAATCGATTTCACAATCTCATCTTTAGAGAATTTGGCGCTAGGGCGACAACAATGTCCATAAAATATAAATTTCGATTTCCTTATGAGAAGGTCTTTGAGAACAATTTTTGAATTGTAAGTTCATTTTCTATCAAGTACTATTAAGAACACTTAATGCCCTGAGTTGTTCTTGTCCTCATAAATGTTATTTTTTTGGATTTTTAAATTCTACTAGTCTCCCTTTAGCTTTTAAGTGTTAAATAGTTGTTTATATTGTCAAAATCCCTTTTAAATATTAACACACCATGTTTTACTACATTCGTAAACAATGTTGTAAATCGTATACTATTTAAATGGTATGATTTGAATCAGTTTTCATATTTGTTTATATGCACAAAGGATATTTTTAAGTAGCATTAAAATCCCTACAGTTTCAATGAGTAAGAAAGAATGTAAAAATAAGGACAACGAACTCCTTTCGACTCACCACATGAACACTGCTCTGCAGCTGTCCGGCTAACATCGTCTGGGCCTGCTGGTGTTGCTGATGCTGCTGATGTTGCTGCTGCTGCTGCTGGTGTTGCTGATGTTGCTGCTGCTGCGAGGGATCGGGCAGCTTTTTGTCGGTCTTCTTGGCCGCCCGCTTGTTCTTGCTCTCGAGGAAGCGTTTCTGGAGGGCGGTGGTCTCCTGGTTCTGCTGCTCGCAGACGGTGCTAAAGGCCTGCTCGTAGCGCGGCACGCAGTCCGTCTGCCGGCGGCGGTAGTTCTCCATGCGGCGACGCAGACGGTCGACGACCGGCAGTCGCTTGGCGGGCATGTTGTCGCCCGGGACGGAGGAAACCGCTCCTGGATTCGCAGGGCCGCCAGCTCCGTTGCCGCCAGTGATTCCAGCAATTCCGCCTGTTGCTCCCAGGTTGGCATTGTAGGGCGAGTGTTGCTGTTGCTGCTGCTGTTGTTGCTGCTGCTGCTGCACTTGGATCTGCTGCTGCTGCTGCGCCTGGGCATTGTGTTGCTGCTGTTGCAGTTGCAGCTGCTGCTGCTGCTGCAAATGAAGGCCCAAATGCTGCTGGTGCAACTGAAGATTCAGATGTTGCTGCTGCTGCTGCTGTTGTTGTTGCTGCTGTTGCTGCTGGGCGACGGCGGCTGCTTGGCTGGCGCTCTGGAAAACTGGCAGGCCGCCCGCATCCATAAATGCGTCCGTGGTGAGGCTTTCGCTGGCGCTCGTTGCTTCGCAGCTTTCGTCTCAGTCGGCGGCGAACGCTGACGGCGACGAAATCGCGAAGAACAAGGCGGCGACAGCGGCGGCGAATATATATATATATCGGTTGGCTATATCTGATATCGGCTGATATTGCTGGTTGCTGCTGGCAGCGCTTCTGATTGCTGCTGTGCGCGTGCTGCAAGACCGGAAATTCCTATTCTACGCGGAGAGGTGTGAGGAATATCGCTGCTGGGGCAGGTGAAAGCAGCTACAAGAAGTTAACATCCTGTGGCAAGTCCTGTAAGAAAAGAGTAAGAGTAAGTAAGTTAGGAAAATATACGACTTAAGATAATTGAAAAATTTTAATTACAAAATGGTTCTTATATATAAAACATTTTCTTTTTAATTTTATTCTTTATAATAGAAAATATAATGCCTAATAAAGTTCTTCTTTACACTGAAATATTTCAAAACATTACAACTTTCAAACCAATTTTTTCAGTGAAAAGTACCTGATAACATTGACAAATACTTGTACATATTTAAAATAATAACTTTGTTCTACTATTTATTTCCGGTTTAAAATATACATATATTTAGCAAAAAAAATGACTGACTTACTGATAACACATTTAAAATAAAACTGAAAGAAGCTCTAGAGATCTCTTAAATTCAAAACAAAGTAACTTTCTTATCTGTCACAAGGTCATAACGCTATTATAAGCTCTCATTTCCATTCGAAATTCGGCGATTTATGGATCAGTTGAAAGCAAACTAAATATGAACGAAACAGCTGATAAGAATCGAAAAGTGAGAGCAAGAGCAAAATAAAGAAAGAGCAAATGAGTAATATCAATACTAGCACAATATATAAATTGGCGATGTATGTATGACGGTATAAAAGAAACCACAACAAATTATAAACAAAATAGATCGACGAACGCCATTTCAAAGAACTGATAAAAACAATGCATTCGAACAGTTTAAGCAAGTATACACTGACAAAAAATTTTAACAAGAATTTTAAAAACCAAATTTTACAAACAAACATATTAGAGATATTTTAAATCAAAATTTATTATCTTAAATTCTTTTGTTTTGTAAAATAAATATGAGATTGAGAGTCAGATGCACTTGTACAGGAAAAGATCAAAACACACAAAGCTAAAGTAAGTTTATCATCAACCTTATAGTGCTTTAAAGTGTTACTTCAGAAATTAAGCAAAAGTATCTCAGAGATACTTTTTAAGATCCTTTTTGTATTTTTTACATTAAACAATCCTTGTGTGGGTAATCCCAAAATTTCGACATTTTAGCTGTGTTCCAATTGTATCAGATTCGTATTTGGTGTGCCCTGTTTTCGCTCAGTGGACCAAGCAAAGCTGATTAAAGCCATTAATCGCTGGCAAAACGCGAGCGGCCGTTGCGCGGTTTCTTATACACATTCGCATTCGCGTGTCTCGTCTCGAAAAGCGAGAAACGGAGAACAAAACAAAGCCAAAGCCAAATCCAAATGGAATCGGAATCGGAATTGAAATCGGGAATGAGCGACAGAGACTGGTGACTGAGACTGACAAACTCAACTGGCCTGCGCCGCGTCTGGCGGTTGAATGAATGACTGATGGACGGAACATGGCGAGCGGTTGGAGCCCGGTGGTGCTTAACTTTGGCTTTAGCTTTGGATGGTGCTGGTGCTGTTGCTGAGAAAGCGCTGGTGCTGCTGCCTGAGTGCTGAGTGCCGAGTGGAACAGTTTGCCATGCCAGTGGTGCTGTTGATACGGGCTGTGGAAAGAGTCAACGGTCGTTGGGGCGAAAGACGAATAGCAGCGAACGACAGCCGACGAACTTTGGATGTTGCAGAGGCGCATATGAGCAGAAAACCTTTGGCAACACAAGTTGTGTCTGATATGAAACACGGGAGAATAATAATATAAACTCTTACTTTATACCATAATATTACTTAAAATTACCTTTATTATAATCTTTAAATCGAGATACTTCAGTAATTCATAAGTTTAAAATCAAAAGATATATTTTGGCAATAGAAATTTCGTAACTCAATAGCCCTAATCTTAATTCAATTACCCTTTTACTTTAAATACAAATTTTAAATTTTGTGTGAGCTTTGAATCTGTGAACTTATCTTCTTGAGTTTCAAGTTTACATTTTTTAATCCAAATCCCTAGTCGATTTATTTAAAACAAACCCTAACCACTTTTACAATTCTTTTAAATAATATTTTATAATCTTTTGAAGTATGGGAAACTAACCATACAAATGATTTTTCAAAATTTTAAAATAACAGCTTAAAGTAACAGTTTATTAACTGATATTAAAATTTGATATTTATGATAATCTGGTGAGATCTAATATTTCGTTGGTTTGAATTATGGAAGTTTTACTGTATAAGTTCTACGGCACGTGGGCCAAAGGGGTGGAGCAAAAGGGGGCGATGCGGGCAAATTAAGCTGTAAACAAGAGGCGAGATGAGATGGCTAAGCCAAGAAAGAGACCCTAGAGCTCAAACTCCTCGGCTGCGGCTGCGGCTGCGGCTGCAGTGTAAACTGGTTTTTGGGCCTTCAGTTATCGGTTCCTCAAGTCGAAAAATCGGGCACTTTTGGAAACGCCAGTGCGACTTTACTCGCGTTCGAAACAAAAACAAATCCCACTCGCATACAAACGAACGGCGGTTTGGCCGAACCAAATAACAGGCGCACAGCTTTGGCAGGCAGAGAAAGTGGGAGAGCGGGAGAGTGGGTGGTCGGGGGGAGCGAGAGAGCAAGGCGAGCGAGTGAGTGACTGGCGAGTGAATGAATGAGCGAGACAGCAGGGCAGGTGCGAGTGGGAGGAGGCGTAAGCTTAGTGAGAGAGCGGCGGAGTGAGTTATGTTAGGTGAGTGAGCAATGTTGTAAAATGAGTGATTGAGTAACTAAACGAGAGACTTAACTCACTCGGAAAAAAAGGTTAAATTAGAGGCGAGCGATTTGTTTGCTGTTCTTCGCTAATATTGTTATTGTTATCGCTGTCGCAGCGTTTAATTAGAAAACAGAACTCCGTTAACCCATTGAGGTAGGCGGTGTCAAATGGAACAGAAATTCAACTGCCTTAGCTAAGAACCCACGTAATCACGAAATACTTCTCATTAGCTGAAACTAGAAATAAAGAGATAAATACAATAATACATTTTGACATCTTTTAAAAAACAAAATCTCTAAAAGGTTTTTTGATAAACATATCTGGTACATTTTTCTAAATAACAGTGATATCATTTATTTTTTCAAGAGTGACTTCTTTTAAATTTTTAAGATTTATTAAATTTAAAGAATAAGGTTTTCTATTTATATCAAAGTTTAGTAATCTAAAAAAAAAATCATACAAATCTTTGTAAACTGAGTCATACACATAATAATAAACATCTAAGCTCATTCAAACATCAAGTATAACAAAAAACCCAACATCATCGATAAGAAAAATAGTCCCGTCACGAGCAAATTTTAGCGTCATAATATTTGAGAGGGGCTTAGCAATTTTAATTAGACTGCTTGTTTGGGGGCATCATTAAATTTCGGCCACAGCTCTCAGGAGAGTCTTAAAGAACAATTTTCATTTGGAGCAAAAGGGATTTCCTCCTTTAAGTCTCATAAAACATTCTCGGCATAAAAATCCTTTGTTGAAGGCATTTGTTTGGTTTGGAAAAAAAGATTTTTACTTTTACAGGCGGACAGATAGTTTTCAACATCAAACCTTATGATTAACAACTGTATCCGCATCCTCATTATGAGTTTTACTCACATTGGGTGAGCGAGAATACACAGGTATTTGGGAAAAAAGAAAGAAAATTTCGGAGTCAATGACAACAAATATCGAAGTACAGTGAAACCCGAACGTCTCAGATTACAAAAGCAGGTAGTAACTGCATTGAACGCTTTAATTTTAAAAGAAAACGATTGGCATTGCTGCTTTTTGAAATATTTAATTTCTAGTTATTTCAAACTAAAACCTTATCCAATTTAAAGCATTTTCTTTAACTTTTGTTATAAATTAATTACAGTTCTTTTGAAAAAACTAAATCAAATTATCTTTCAGATTTTTACCCAATGATCTCAGTTCTCGATTCAAATAGAGCGCCAACGAAAGAGAAAATATATCCACGCAAACGCAGGGGAGAGAGAGAGAGACTCCACTGTTAACGATTTTAACATCGACCGCCGGCGACTCGAAAACATTGCAAAATCGGCGCGAATTAAAAAATCGTCGGCGACGACAGAAACGCGGCAGAAACGTTGGAGCGGCGCGTTTCTGGCAGCCCAAGTCCAAAAACAGCGTGCGGCACACGATGCGGAATCGCATCGAAACAGAAACAGAAGTGAAACGGCGGCGACTTACGTCGCGCGTCTATCGCAAAAACGAACAGGCGCCCAGCGATGGCAGCAGCGCGATTTCAGGGCGATTTAGTGAGACGCTGTTAGTGATGAAAACGGTACTGCTCCGAGAGAGCGTAAGAGAGAGTAAGCGGGGGAGGGGGAAGAAGAGCGAAGAGAGCTAAGCATTTTATTCACTCTCTATGCGCATGTATGTGTGTGTTTATGGTGTGGGCTACACAGAAAACAATAGACAAATGTTTTTACATAACATTAGGACATTAAACAATAACTAACATTGAATATTACTAGTAACTATACAAAAAACTTACGAATAAAGCGGCACAGTTAAACTTCCAGATTTAAACCAGCTTTGCTTAATTTTTAAAAATGCCTATAACTGCAAGTGTTGTAACTGTTCAAATCCCAAACAAAATAAAAATATTATAGATATACGTATATTTTTCACTAAATAGTTTAATTTTAAAAGTATCGTAGGAATAAAAAGAGATTATAATCAAACAATTAAAAAAATAAAATAAAAAATAAAAGGGTTGAATTATAAAGACTACAGTTACAAAAAAAATAAAAAAATTAAATATTAACTTATGCTATAATAAAAATGCACTCGAATTAGATTTTTCCCCGTGTAGCAATGAAATAGCTTTTGTATTTAAGGCATTTGCATCTTATTATTAAATTGTTGGGGACAGCTTATATAATTTCAGACGAAAGCAGTACTATCTGATAAACTGATCATAAAAACGCACGTCAGCAATGGAATTAATGAATTAATTCGCGAGCTGCAAAAATCGCTCGCGTTTCGAGTCGCCCACCAATGTTGCGGTTTAAAACGCGACCGGCAAGAAGATACATTTAATTGCAAAAGGAAATGCAGAGAGAAGAGCTAAGAGAAGGCTAAAATCGTCGGCTGGCTGAAACGTCTGTTGGCCCATGAGAAAACGACGCCAAACAAAATGGTGCCGCCTCTAGTGACGAAAGCGACAAACTAACTAACGACTAAAACGACAAACGACAAACAACAGACGACAAACGACGGCGGCGACAAAAAGTCAATTTTATCGGAAACTAACAGGCTGCAAGCAGGCAGAGAAAGCTATGCGGCGGGGAGGAAAAGCCAAGCGGACTTTCCACTTTTTTCACTGGCCTGGAAAAGCTCTCTTTCTCTATTTCTCTATGGCTCTGCGGCGCTGGGCGCCTAATCCGAATTGCGAGAAAGATCCGCTTTTCGAGCCAAAAACCACCGAAAAGCCAACAGCTCGCACAAAATTTCCGCCCAGCGGCACGCCCCCATTTCGAGTAGCCGCCCCCTTTTGAAGTCCGGGCCAAAATCCAAGCCATCCGGCCGGGACAAAGGCGAGCGGCAGACTGAGGAAAATCGAGGAAAATTTGAAGCCAAACCGCAGGAAATACTAGAGAAAAGGAGATGGTCAAAAGGGGGAGAATGTGCGACCTGACGATGTTTTTAGGGGGGGCTATCACAAAGTGGGCGAGAGTTGGGTGGAAAGTACAGAACCGACATCTCCATGCAATTAGCTTGATTGTCTCTGCACATGCGCCCTGGGGAGAACTCCAACCGAGCACTATATTTACCCAAAGGCAATCGTTTTAGTTCGCCTTTCTCATAAATCAAGAAGTTGTATTATTTTATGGCTGAGCTCAAAAAGTAATTACATCGTAATTATAAAACAAATAAATAGTATTAGAAAACTCACTTATGAGGACGCTTTCAAAGTGCTTTAATATTGAAAACAATTTAATTTGGCTTTAAAAATGTGGTGAATAGAAGCGGGAAATCTAGTTGTTCTATTGAGCAAAGTGGGTTTATATTTATCTTATAAGAAATTTATGCTGCGCAATAAGTTATCTCATTGAAATTTAGTTTGTATAACATTTTAATGAAAACTGGAATAAAACATTCATTCCCAGGATTTTAGTTCACACGCAGTGCAAAAACCGCAAGGCAAATGAGATATAAATAAAAATCAAGGAAAGCCCACAAGTAAATGCACATTGTTGGCCAGCTGCAACAGCAACACAACAGCAGCAGCAGCAACTTCTCCACCAGCAACATCAAGCGGCAACCGCAGCAACAGCAGCAACAACAGGTCCCCAAACAGATGTCGTGCGATTGTAAAAAGCATGGAAATAGCCACGGAGGAGGTTAGGGGTATCTTGCAACAGCTGCAACATGCAACATTATCGTCGATGCTGCTGCAACATTGCAGAGGGCGCCACTGTTGTTGTTCCATGCCACCAGCGATGCGGCGCACAGCAAAATCAGCGTGGCGGTACAATGGTATAATGCTAAAGTGGCAAGTGCCCCACCAGCGGGATACTCAAGCACACACACACACACACACACACACTCTCGCGAACAAGGAAAATTCGCAATAAGGCAACAACACAATACCGAACACAAGCAACAACGGCCAACGGAACCGGTTGTTCAGCAAGCAACAACGAAAACTAGCGCAAAAAGTAGTCGAGGAAAAAGAGGAGACCGCTGGATGGCATGGCTCCTCCTTCTGAGCTCCCAATATCAAAGAGCCCCAACTATAACTCAGGATTTTCTCAAGACGTCTTCGGGCATTATGATGCTAGTAAAAATCAAAGATGCTCGTTAGGATCTTAAGTGTTCCTGTGGTTTGGTAGTGTATCTTAATCATTTACCTTTTAACATCCTCTTTATACACCCTGGTAAAAATAAATATCCAGCAACATGTAATTTTGAAAACATATTTTTTAAAATATTAACTATTTAAATAATTTGATTAAATCTTTCGCATACTTATAATAACGGTATTGTAATAAATTAAGGAAGATTTTTAAGGAGAGCTAAGTCCTCTCCCAAAAGTTGATTTAAGTGGTTTTTTTTAATGTTGTTTATCTGTTTACAAGAGCAGAAAGCCGTGAGCTGTGAGGTTGTCAAGTGGTCAAAGCTTAAGTTTATCCAAATTTGTTATCAATAAAAAAACAAAAATTGCAATTAAAGTTTTAAAATTTTAGATTATTTTCAGAAGTATTTAATTTCAGCTTCGAAATAAACTAATGCTGATTTCTTAGTCGAGGGCGCACTGTTTGCGAGTGAACCCGTCTCCGCACAGCTGCGCCCGTTTAACCCATGTTGTACACCATTTTAACGGCCAACCACTCGCTGAGGCTCTTCTGCTTTTTGCTTCTCGACCGTTCTGCTCACAGGGGTGACTTTCCACAGGCGGAAAGGACGGAAAACCCATAAAATGGATAGGACAATGAATAAACGGCTGACTGCCTGCTAGCTTTAATTAATTTTCTATTTCAGTTTTCATGCCTGCCGATTGCCGTTTGACGAAGAGCGTACCACTTTTCGAAGCATTCAAAATGAGTCAAAACGATTTGGAAGACATTATATATTTAATTCGAGAGCCGTGGGTTCATGAATTCTCTTTCATTATTTTGTAATATTGAATATTCAAGCGAAGAAAATTAAACGAAAATGAACTTTGAAAAATGTCTTATAAATTCTGACCACTGTAAGATTCCGGTTATTGGAGGTCCTTAGACAGCAAGGATATGCCATATTTTGAGGTCTCCTTTAGGAGTTCGGCAAACACACATTTGTCTGTGTCTACTTAAATGTAAATGTACCTGGGCAGGTGCGAGTAATCCTCAAAACGCTCAGTGCAGAGCGAGGCAGAATGAAGAGAGCCTGTCGCTCGTATCCTCCAAGTAAAACTCACTATCGCTCTTCCGGTTCCACCCCTGGTCCCCTCACTTAACCCCCCGCCATTAACCCCTTGTTCGCCTGGCCTGTTAATGAAGTCTTAAATTGTCTGCCGTTTCGCAATGCTTTTTGCTAAATTAACAAACAGCGCGCGGAAAACTATAAAAAATACAAATAAAAAAGTAAAACGGGGTCCGGTCTTTGCTTTAACCATGTTCCCCTGTAGCACTCCCTAAATCCCCTTGTATTGCGCTTAAATATTTATGAGCTACACGTGACGACTGCTGAAAGCCACGATATTGTCGCTCAGCGATAAGCTTAAAAGCAACTAAAAGATGTAAGAGAACAATACGAATAAATAGAAAAACAAATTTAAATAGTTTCTATCAATTCAATTGAGCTTCAAAATAATATAATAAATAATGCATAAAAGTGGAATTTTAAAGTTATACATGTTATTTGAGACCTTTGTTTTATTTTCCAAATTCTAATAAAATATAAATTCGTTAAACCTAAAAGCAATAAAAAATTATTTTATAAATAATGTGTTCAGCCAATAACAATGGGAATTTTATGCAACTAAAACTTGGCAAGCGCTAAATGCTATTGTGCCAGACTCGTGCCCACAGAGCATTTTCTAGTTCTCTATTTATATTGTTTTTATGGGCGCGAAAGTTGATTAACGTTAATTAATTCATGCTGCGAGTGGCGTTTATATTTGAACAAATTGGAACTAAACGAGATGTTTGACTGCCCGGAAATGCACACACTCACACACAGCCAACGAGGCACAAGATGCAAACACACAGATACTCCACACCGATACAATGTTTGACCCAGTAATTAAGGCGTGTTTAGCAGGCGCATTTCATGAGACTAATTAATGAAGTTCAGTCCATCAGCATACAGCACTAGATCGCCCCCTCCCGCTTTACATTTTCCATCTCATTTTCTTGGCAACCTGTTTTCCCTTGGTCTTGTGTACACAACAAAAGCAATTTCAGGGAAAACAATTTTCTGCAATTTTTCTTGTATTTTTTCTACTTTTTTTCTCTGTTATTAAGTAGATGCAACCAAAAACGCTAGAGGCCTGTAAGCAGTACAGTAATTTAAACGCAACAAACGCTAAAAGAAAAAGCATTCTAGAACAACAGTCAAACTTGTCTATGAAGAACATGGTAGGACCAAAAAACTAAGAACCAATGTTGTACAATTAATTGGTATATTAAGCTTCGATAACGTCTATCATGTTTACTTATTTTGAAGTTATTACTAATAAATTTTTTGCATTTTATTTTTAACTAAAACAATTTATTTGAAAGTTAAATATCATTTGATTGATTCAAAATAGCATGTTAATTCAATTGGTTTTTTTTTAGCACAACCAGTCGATGCTAATTAAAAAGTGCAAGTTGTAAAGCAACTGTTTTTAGGAGCTAAAATAAATTTGACTCCAGAAACCTATAACAAACGGCAAAAATCGAAAAGAAGCCCCACAAAAATTTCCTACTAAACAGCAACGCCGACTGCGCAGCAACTGCGCTGCAGCAGAGACAGCAGCGTGGGAGTTTTCGTTAACAGCTGTACCCCAAAATGAGCTCTCTCGCTCTGACTTTCTGTTTGCGCTCTCTGGCTCTCTTTTGTTCTCACTGCACGTAACAACATCCCTGCGTCATACATTGTTGTTGTTGTTGTTGTTAAGGCTGCTCCGTTGTTGTTGTTGTTGTTAAGGCTGCTCCGTTGTTGTTGTTGTTGTTGCTGTTGTTCCTGTGCTGCTGTGCAGTTGTTGTTGTTGGCTTTTTGTCACAGGTCGTTGCACTACCAATACACGAACAACAAAAGAGAGGCGATGTACGATGTACAGTGTGACACATGCAGACCGTTCGGACGACTGTCATCGACAAAAGCAACAACAATAGCACAGCATCGTCAGCCACCCTTTGTGCCCCCCTTATTCCACAGAGCCCACGTAACCCCCTGACCATCCAAAACATCCATGGGAGATGCAAAAATGTTGATCTATGCAAAGTCCTCAAAGGTTCTTTCTTTAACTTCTACTATGACAACAACTCTACGATAAATGTTAGTAATTAGTAATTATTATTAATGGGCTTTGTCAATAATTTATATGAAGCAAAACAAGACAGCTTAAAGTTTATAAAGGCAGCATTATCTTTTGTTTTGTACTTCAGAACTACATTTTCGTGACGTTATCTACGACTACAATAGCTTATTAATAAGACAGTTCGATATAGTCGACGGTAAACGTTAAATGTATAATTTATTAAATTAAATTGAAAGGTATAATTATTTGATAAAGCGCTTTTAACTGGTTGGGAATTATAAGACTTTGGTCCAGTTTTACTTAGCTCTGCTAAGTTGTATTATTTAAACCTATATTAAACATCATGATTATATTTGTATTTTAGCTAAACTATTTTAAAGTAAAATAATTTTCAAAATCCCCTCAAAAGTTTAAAATAATTTCAAGCTGAATAATTAGGGTCAACCATTGAATCAAATATCTTTTCTACCCTACTATCATTCAAAACACTCAATAAAATAATAAAAAATAATAAAATTTCACGTTTCTCACACATTTATTGTCATTTTTATGACCTAACAATGTACGCAAAAGTAACGATAAGAAAATTTTCCATAATAACTAAGAAAAGTGTATTGACATTACGATCATTGTTGCTTTAAGCCCGTTCGCACCTCTTAACCCCCCATAAATTAACAATCTTGCAAATGGAAATTTCCTATGCCAATCTTTTAGCTGAATTCATTTGCTTGGAAATGGAAATGAAGAAAGGTAAAAAGAATTTGGCCATAAATATGTAATGAGTCAAGTGGCTTTGAGTTCTCGTTAAAAAAGCCCAATTAAAACCAAGTGGCAATCTTGGTGGCAGATCAAGGAGTTATATTCCATATAAATCCTTCTTTTTTTAGGGGAACTGAAAAAAATTATAAAGCTCAAGTGGTTAAAAAAAATGTTTGTGTGATTATTTTGTGTATCTCGCGGGGCATAAAAGAAAAGCATTCAAATGAACTTTCCTCGCTGGTGTGGTTGTTGTTTTTGTTGTACGTGGCACAAGTGCGGCCGCATGCTCAAGCACACACCCACACACCTAAAGACAGAACCAGAAAACGTGTTGAGTGGCGAAAAATAAATAAAAATAATAAAGAACAAGAATGAACGCTTTAGTCGAGGGCCCCGACCTAAAGATACTTACTACTTCCTGTCTAGTTACAAAGAAGGTTTGAAGGTTTAAAGGTATTTTTATTTTGTTCATTTTGGTAAATATAAATTCTAAATTTCAGTCACTTTGTGTAGGTAGATATTGACAAAACCTTCTGATCCCACACAAAAACATTTCATTATCAATAAAATTTAGCGAGCTTTAGGTTTCTGGAATTGACGTAAGTTGATGTTTGCAAAACAAAATGATCTATGTTATGTTCCAACAAGTCAGTGTTAAAAAAGTATAGTTTAGATAGTGTGATGTCGTGTCGTTTAGAAAATTAGGAGATGAATGTTGATGCTGATCAATAATACATGTACATATATGCATACTTCTCAGGGCCGGAAATGATTATATTTTTCTGTTTTACGAACACAATATACCCTTCTTACTGTACGAGTACCGGGCACAAAAATCAGTAAAGAATACAAAACAAAAACAAGTCGAACAGAGATAAACCTATTTATGTCTAGCAATTTCATATTCAACCTTTTCTGCCTCTTCCGCACCCTTTTTCAGACAATGTGTTGTTTGCAAAAGTTGAGTGTTTCTAAACCGACTGTATTTTCCGCATCCCAATTTAAAGTTTGTGATTTTAAATGATTAATGCCTGAGTCAAGATTTTGTACAATGATTGATTAATTAACGTTGACAACCCAAAAAATACTAAAAAACTGCCGACACACGCACACCCTTACCATAAACACACACAAACAGTGGCGGGCTCTTTCAGTTGTCCAGTTTTTTATTATTTCTTTTTTAGTTAATAAATTGACTTCCATTTTCGTTACGGTCTTTTCTTATCCCCTTCTTCCATCTTCATGATATTATTGTTGTCGTTGCGTTTCCCACCCAAAAACATTTTCTATGAAATCTGAAACGATGGATGTGTGGCTGTTGATGTGTGTGTGGCCAGGTTTTAACCTTGATTGATTTCATACCGATTTTAGTTAGCTCAAGAAAATTTATTGTAAAGTGGAGTTGGATTTACAGAGAAAAAATATTTAAGTTAATTTGAAAATGTTTGTTTGTAATGTTTGTTT